TGCAGCCAGCTAAGTTTTGCTCAAGAGTAGACCCACTGAAACTGATAGACCTAAGTGAGGCTGCATTCACGCAACAATTTATACTCCCCCCTTATGTCCCCCTAACTGTTAATATCTGCTTCACATAGGGCTGCCTTCAAAAACCATTTCAAAACCTCCAGTTGGCAGAGAGTGCGGTTGCTCAACTGTTGACAAGTTAAAAGGCGAATAGATCATTTAAAGCAATTCTGTAATAACTAAACAGGCTGCCTGTATACTTCTGAGACCAACTCAAAGTGCTGGTTTAAATCTACAAAGCAGTTTACAGCTAACAACCCCAATATATTCTGGAAAGTCTCAAGCCGAGTCCCCAGAACTTTATTTGAGAACATTCTCTGGATCCCTTGCTAGAGGGAGGCTTGGAGGGGGATGACAAGGGATGGGAGCCTTTTCAGTTGTGGCTCCGCATCTGTGGAACACACTCTCCACTAAGGTCTGCTTGGTACTTTCACCAATGTATTTATAGTGCCAGGTAAATATATATATTTCCCCCAGGCTTTTGATGGATAGCAATGTTTTCACTGATAGTGTGTTTCCAGAGCTTCTATACCACTCCTTTTGGGGGGTTGGGGAGTGCCTGACTGAGCTCCAAGAAACGACTGGATTAGTGCAATAAAAAAATGGGAAGACCCACATCAGAACCTCAGTCTGCTACTGCAGAACCCTGAGTGACGTCAGCAGAGTCAATTGCTTTCCCTGTGCTCTAGATCCCCAGAGTGTTTACAAAGATGATTACACCAAATATTGCAGTGAACTCAGAGGCTACAATAATGGGAGGCCTGAAAATGTGAAGAATATAAGTTCATCCCTTTCTCAGCCTCTTGGTAGTCTAAGCATGCCAACCTTTTTATTATTATTACACCTGAAAGAAAGGTATTTCCCCTGAACAGTTTAATGTGTCTATTTACAGTAACTTTCCAGGATGTTCCTCATTGCTGGAACAGACATGGAATGCTCACCGTCTATAAGCAAAGATTGTTTCAATATATTCATGCTTTATTAAGAATCCGAACTGAGTGAGGTCTAATAGCCTCCATTCCTCGCTATAAAAAGCCATGTACCTGCAGGTGGAATTAACGGAAGTTAAACCACACTTAATGCAGATTGAACCTTCATCTTCTAAAAAAGATAATTTTACAGGCAACCAGCATGCACTCTTCATCAGTTTAAAAGAACATGCTTATAAGCAGAAGCTCCAAGCACCAATGGTAGTACGGGTCAGGTTTCAAACCACTTCTTATTGTTTGAATTTAAAGCAGTAGCAGCCAACGTGGTGTTCCCCAAAATTGTTGCTGGATTCCACATCACCCAACATCCCTGATGGTTGGCCATGTCAGCTGGAGCTGATGGAAGCACAAGAACTGGAGGGCACCATGACATTGGCTACCTTTGGTTTAGAACTGCCATCACTTCTTGCTGGATTAAAGGCCTGCTGGATTAAACGGAATGTCCACCCAGTGCATCATCCTGCTTCCCATAGTGGCCAGACACCACCTTCAGGAATCCCACAAGCAGGAGAAGAAGGCCCTGGCCTTCTTCCAGCAACTGGTCACAGCAGGCTACCATTTTAGCTGTGCATAAGCCAAAGAGTTCTATACCCACACATCCTCCATCCAGACCAACGAGAGGCATTGTCGCCATTCAAGGACCTATTCTAGCCAAGCAAAAGCACTCAAGGAGAGTGTCTGGAGCAGGGCCAAAGAGAAGTGTTTTCCTGGAGTGGAGGTGTGGCCTGGGGAGTGTCCCAAGGGCTGGATGGGGGTACCTGGAGGCCACATTCTACTCCCAGGCCTGAGTTCATGCATCCATGAATGCACAGTTTATTACAGACTCATCAGATTAGATACCCAAATGAAACATAAAGCTGGTTTAAACAGTTAAAAACAGATACATATAAGTATACTTCTCTCTCTCTCTCAAGAAGCCAGCATAGAATTTCAACTTATCTGCACTGAAGTCAGAATTAATTAACCCTCTTAGTAACATAAGAGACAACTTCCCTTAACCAACTTTTTAGGAGATCTTCCTAGAAGAGTTCTTAACACTGGGAGAACCAACCTTTCTATACATCCATTCTGCACATTATGGTGAAGAAGAACATGATCAACAGATTATATTGCTCCAGCCCTACACAAATACAACCATTCATTAACCATGGCCTTCTTAAATCATCCACTCAACCGTGCAGAAAGCAGCACATTAAAATGAGCAAGGATAAGTTCTCTCCTGTTCTCAGAGACAGTTAGTGTATATGGGAATGAAGCTGAGCGGATTCCATAATTTATAGGGTTATTAAGGAGTAATGGGGACAGGACTTGTTAGCTGCAGTTCTCACATACTGTAGATCTAAATCATTAATCTTTGAACAACAAGGAGTTGAGTCCTGTTTAACTCATAATTGTCCAAAATGTTAACCTGTAATTGCCCAAACGAAATGCCTCCTTCTCCATCTCTGTCATCAATTGACTAACTATCTGAGGGCAATAAGGAGATATAACTGGCAGGAGCTGCAGAAAAATGCAAACTTAGCCACTGTTTCAGGGCATCAGCCCAAGCTTTATGTTCAAGTGATTGAATACACACTTCCTAATGAATTCCCTACAATAGGTGGCAAGCCCTGTATCTTCCTAAGGAAAGCAGACTGAACTATTTAGTTAGTTCACATCAACAGATCACATTCAACCACTGTTTGCCACCCAGCACTCCCTTGGCATTGTGGCCCACAATTTAATTGCCCTCACTATTTCAATTTACCCTTTTCTGCAGGCCCTCCTGTCCTGAAGCCACACACAAAACAGTGTGAGTGTGTTGATTTATTTATTTCACCTCCTCTGCTGCTTTTCTCCATTTCTCGAAACTCCCTAGCTCTGACATCCTGCTCTCTGTAAAATCTTTGTTTGGTACATTGCAGCAGGCTGTTGTGCTACAGCTGTGGCCCACATTTCAGGAATCTCATGTGCACATCTAGCTGAAGAGACAATTTGCTTTTTTATTCACCCCACTTCCAGCCCATATGCTGCATAAAGCAGCAACATAGAGATCTTCTCAGAATTCATTTGAGTTGACAAACATGATTGCAGACATACTAAAAGCTTTCAGAAGAGTAATGTGGAATTTGTTCACGTGAAAGCTTCAATAACAGGAACAAGATGCAGTTGTCCCTTCCTTCCTTCCTTCCTTCCTTCCTTCCTTCCTTCCTTCCTTCCTTCCTTCCTTTCTCCATCCCTCCCTCTCTCTCTGACTCACACACACACATACCACTCATACTCTAAAACTCTCCCTCTTTCTTTTTCCCCTCCTCAGCCCCAGGTTAAGAATATAGAAGTGAGATGGTTGTGGGCTCCTTCTCTGAAAGGACAGCCTACTCCTTAGGTTTTGGAAATGTGACTGAAATTTAACATCATGAAATTGCAGCTAATTATTGATATTTTAACAACACCTACACAAATTCATAAACCAAACAGCTTGCAAGGCTCCTCGGGAACTTAGAGGAAAATAGGTCAGCTAGACCCATAAACATTCAGGTTTCTTTTATTTCATACAGTCCCAGATCACATGAACCAGTGTGTATGCTTTTAATGCTCCCCACCTATTTTGTAACTACCACAAATTCCCTTCCTCTCCCAAGCTTACTGCAGGAGAATAATGTGGAGGTAAATATGCAAAGTTTGGAACTCCGATTATTCTTTGCTGTTCTTTTTCTAAACATAATTATATAAGCAATTGCAGCACAATGTGTTTGGCAAGAAGATTACTCTGGCAAACCTCAGCTGCAGAACGTTCCTAAATTAAACAAACGGAGGTGAAGCAAAAACTTCAATTACACTTCTCTTGCTATTTGTTCTTAAACTGATATTAAAATATTACACTTTCTTTGCTGACTTCTAGATTCCAACTGTTCGCTTAAATAGACAAGCCTTAAAAAAAACTATTTTATCAACACCACATTGTGAAAACATGCACACATTAAAGCAAGGATTGGGAACCACTGCCCTGCCAGATGTTGCTGGACTTCAATTTCCCCAAAGAGCATGGCCAATGGACAGGGACAAGCAGAGTTGTTGTCCAACACCTGGAGAGACACAGCTTCCCCGCTCCTGAATTGAGAGGTATAGACCATTTCTTCTAACAGGTGAGCAGGCATATTCCATACTAGTAAAAGAAGCTTGCATTCTACAAATAAGTATGCATTTTTGGCAACTACTGGAATTCTCCACTGTCCACAATGGAGATTGCTAAAGCTGTGATAGAGAAAACCCAACAGGTTTGCTTGCTTTCCCACACTTTAAAACTTGTGTTCTTTTCCCCACTCCTTCCTACATGTCCACCTGAGGATGTTTCAAGCTTGCCAAAGAGCAGAGGAACTCCAGTACACCAATGTTTCTTATGATTACTCAGTGCTAAGGTGTTAGATGCTGTTAAAAAGCAGACCTCCATGTCCTGATTTTCAAGGCAAAGCGACAAAAAAAATTAATTGTTTACTAGTAGAGGGAGTTTTTGTAATGATAGTATGTACTGAATTTCAGCTTCCAGAATGTTTTGGGAGTACTTTAATTTTAATATCATCTCAGTAAGAAAGCCAGACCTAAGCATCTTTGATACTGCAGTGTTTATTTCCGTAGAGAGAAGTAAATGAATTGTAACTTTCCATGAGGGTTCACACACTCACAAAAATCAAGCAGTATATACTTCATGTTATCACAGGTGTATTGTATCCCAATTTAACAGGTCGATTGGTTAATCCAATCGGACTTCTCTGCACTGACTGATAAATAGGTCACAAGAAAATGTTATAGATGAGAAAATACTGTACAGATTAACAAGATGTGAAACTTGGGTTATTCAAATACACAGAAAAATTATGTTCTGTTTGTATGTTTGTGTGCAGCTTCCTTCTTTGTCAACAAGGGACAAATATTGATCCTGTACATCAGCAGGAGGTTAAACGAAGAGAGACTGACCTGGTTGTGTTGTTGAACTCATTGTTGTTGATGGAGAGATGAACATTTGACACAAAGAGATCAAATCACAGAAACTGTAGTTTGGTTTTCTATAAGCTCACCGAAGTTGATGCAACTCTGTGATTTCAACCTATTAATGAAAAAAAAAATCATGTAAAACATATTATCCATACTTGTGAAGGCTATCTTTAATCATCCTGGGATCTTTGGATAAAGGGCAGTATATGAATGGAATAATAACAATAATCTTGTGGAATGAGACAATAGAGCCCTGATCCACCAACCCCATTGAACAAATTACAAGAGGTCCACATTGACTTCAGAGCTGGACAAGCTGCCACACTAACTATAACACCATCCTAGAGATGTGAAAAAACTATGATAGTGATGTACAAACAATGCTAGTGGGGTTTCAAGAGGCGCTCTAAAAACTGAGAGATATTGTCAAAAAGAAATAGAGGGAGAGGGAAGACAAATGGCAATATACATATAGGAAATGCGTAATTAAGAGATAAATATGGATTATTGTCAGAGAAGCTGAAGGAAGTCCAAAAGAGACATTTTGTTACAATTTGGTTATAAATGTACAACTGTATTGGAAAATTAATAAAAAATTATTATTATTTTTTTTTAAAAAAACTATGATAGTGAAACTGAGGGGTGAAATTTGGAAAGCTCCGCATCTCTCTGATGTTAGTGGTTGGGTTGAAGAGACTTACAAAGAACCTGTCCATATTTAATTCTTCTCTCACATGGATGCATGCAATATATAAAAGCTGGCAACTTGAAAAAGCACAAGCCCTTGGAGCAATCTGAAGGGTGCAAGCTAAAGGGCTCTCATCCAGCGCCGGATTTATGTATAAGCTAAACAAGCTATAGCTTAGGGCCCCACTCTCTTGGGGGGCCCCAACAAAATTAAAGGAAAAGTAACTGGATGTACATTTCCAAAATATAAGATAACAAACAAATAAAATAAAACCTACATATAGCAACAGTGTTTTGTGTTGTGTAGGCTCCTATGATGTAAATAATGGGCCCCACCTACTTGCCTGCTTCCTAAAATATCACTGGTTTGCTCATTTCTATATATACTTCTTCTTAATTGTATTTCAGTTCAACAATTACTTTAACAAAATACATATTTTGTTATGTGCAAATGGCTTTAGATACCTATTAAGTCCATAAATTACCATACAGCATATATTCAACACAAAAAACAGTGGCAAAAAAGGACAGCTGGACTTATAAAGGATCCTATTACCTTCAGTAGCTTAGGGCCTCATCAAACCTAAATCCGGCCTTGCTCTCATCCAAGGGTAAGCAATCAGAACACAAGATGGAGAGGACATTAACGGAGTGTTAGTTCAGGCAGGATGAGGATGGAGATGGAGGTGGTAAAGAACCAAACGCCTCTAGAACCGTAGTGCTGCCCAAGTTATGGAACACCCTGAGGCATGGATGGCCACATGTTTCTTGGGAGCTTACTGCTCGGTGGAAATTTACTTGATTTTTCTTGCTTTTGCTGGCTATGGTTAGACTATTTTTGACCCATGACCTTGAGACTGACGGCGTTGACGTTTTACTATTATCTTAATTGTGTTCCGTGATTTGCAATTAAACAAGTTATTTGTTTATTTTATTTAAACTGCTTGGAAGTCACTTCTGGAAAAACGTGGTACAGGTGACTCCCCACTTACGCATGTTTGACTCACATGCAACCACATATACGCATGGTGCCAGGAAATTAATAATTTGATTTAAACTGCAGAAAGGTGCGGAAAGGGGGGAAATGGCCCCAAAAGAGTACAAAAACTGGGGAAAAAAGTGTGAGTTGGTAAAACGGCTAGCAATCCCAGGAGCCTTTGCAATTGCAATCTGACCCACAGCCAAGCACTTTGGAGTCCCAGTCTACCCCCTTGCCATTGTTTCCACATCGTCCACCACCAACGAGGAAGACTGAGAGCCACCATTCATGCCAGTCTGGTAAGCGCTGCTGATTTTAAAAAGAGTTTTTAAGGGTTTCCAGAGGTTTTTTGGGGGGGGTTAGGTACCCCTGACCGTTAAGTCCAGTCGTGGATGACTCTGGGGTTGTGGCGCTCATCTCACTGGCCGAGGGAGCCAACGTTTGTCCGCAGACAGTTTTTCCGGGTCATGTGGCTGGCCTTGACTAAGCCGCTTCTGGTGAAACCAGAGCAGCACACAGAAACACCATTTACCTTCCTGCTGGAGTGGTACCTATTTATCTACTTGCACTTTGACGTGCTTTTGAACTGCTAGGTGGGCAGGAGCTGGGACCGAGCAATGGGAGCTCACCCCGTCGCGGGGATTCGAACCACCAACCTGGCTTTTTAGATGGTTTTCCCCAGTATATGTAATTTAACATATATGGCAGTATCCGGGAACATAACCCCCACATAAATAGGGAGTCACCTGTATATACACATACTAAACTAATAATAATAATAATGTATCAAAAATTAGGCCCAGAAAACTAAAAGCAACTTGGTAGCTACTAGGATAAAATAAAATGTGAACTCTTCCTACACGAGGCAAGTTAAATGCTAGCAAAGCACATAATGATAATGGTCTGCTTGAATGTCCCTAAACACATCTCACATTTTGAAAATTCTGGCCCTTACAGAATATATTATAGAGGTTATCTCTGCTTAGTATAATTCCAACGCATCCAAGAATTCAGCTGCAAGCTTTGCAGAGTACTTGCAAACGAGTCTTTTATCAATTCTTTATGCTGTTACTAATACATTTTGTGAAATTACAACTAGAAATATGCCCAAAGAGAGATGATATACTCGCAATTATTCATTTCATACTGTGTGGAACTTTCTTTTTTTAATAAATCAAAGATTGAGGCATATCAAATTGCACTGAAATTGAACAAGAATAATATTTTCATGGGTATTTTGAAGACTTCATTCTGCCACATTTAGCAGATTTTATACATGCATCCGAATTGATCTCACTGTTGTAACATCTTTACTTTTTGAAAGCTTCTTAGACTTGGCATATCTTAGAAAGCAGAATATTGAAACAAAAATTTGTTTAGTGGTTGTCACATCAAAATCAATCAAGAATGCACTACTGTATTGCTGAAACTTATTTACTAAAAATGTACTAGACTCTTAGACATAAAACTAGAGCCTTCATACAGACAGTGACATATGGTGGGGAGATAAATTTCTAAAAACAAAGTGTAATTCCTTCTCCATTTGTTCACAATGAAAATTAAACCCCAGGGGGGGAAGTGAATGCTTTCTGAACATAATTATATGCTAACAGTTTTTGTTGTTGTTGTTGTTTCATATTGTCATGCTTTCAAGAAAACCTTCTCTTTTTATACATTATGGTTTAAACATGACATAGAACTCAATCCAAACCATGTCTACCCAGAAATAAGCCTGACTGAATTCAATGCGGCTTACTCCCTAGTAAATGGCATTAGGATTACAGCCTTAATTAACTGGCTTGAAAAGAAGCAAAACATTTCCAATGATATTTTCTTCATATGTCTAGCAAACTTGCTTTAAGTTGCTGAGTGACCGAAACATTGCAAAAAGAATGCATGCCTCCTCTCTCCTGCAACTCCCTACTTCCCAAGTTTTCAAAACAAACCCTTACTTTTGGAAAGAGGAGGTGGTCAATCAGCCGTGGGTCAGGCATCCTAGAGACAGGAGAAGAAGCCTCACGTGCTTCTTATGGTCTTCTACAATGGGTAGGGTTTCTTGGCATGCCAATCAATGTGAAAAATTATCTCTGAAGGTAGGAAGTTTTTAAAACCACTGATGCACAGATGGAAAAGAGTCATGTCTGCTGGCCTTCCAGTTGACCCCAACACTCCCATTCAAATGTGTTTCACTTACAAGGTGTACACATGCTCTCTCTGCACAGTTAAAGGTAAAGGTAAAGGTACCCCTGCCCGTACGGGCCAGTCTTGACAGACTCTGGGGTTGTGCGCCCATCTCACTCAAGAGGCCGGGGGCCAGCGCTGTCTGGAGACACTTCCGGGTCACGTGGCCAGCGTGACACCGCTGCTCTGGCGAGCCAGAGCCGCACACAGAAACGCCGTTTACCTTCCCGCTAGAAAGCGGTCCCTATTTATCTACTTGCACCCGGGAGTGCTTTCAAACTGCTAGGTTGGCAGGCGCTGGGACCGAGCAACGGGAGCGCACCCCGCCGCGGGGATTCGAACCGCCGACCTTTCGATCGGCAAGCCCTAGGCGCTGAGGCTTTTACCCACAGCGCCACCCGCGTCCCTCTCTGCACAGTTAGGTATCCTGAAAAGGCAGAATACCAAACCATGTAGAGAGAGCCTATGCACCTACAAGTTGTATTGGCGCAGGAACATGGAGCATAGGAAGCTGCCTTATATTGACTCAGTCCATTGGACCACTGAGGTCAGTATTCTCTACACTGTCAGTGGCTCTCTAGGATTTCAGGCAGGGTCTCTCCCAGCCCTACCAGGGATTGAACCTGGGCTCTTCTGCAAGCAAAGCAGATGTTCCACCACTGAACCACGACCCTGCCCTTGATCTCTGCAGAGGCAGATACACTTCATCAGCTCAGACGCCCTCTAGTTTGCAAAGCTGGTTATGGCCTTCTTCTCACTCAGGATGCAAACTCATATCTGGACTGTCCCATCTCAAACTGCACGTCCGGTGGATCACATAATTGGATTTCCCTCCATATGAAACAAAATCCTTCCACGTAAAGAACAGCCATATCATGGGAAGAAGCCTAGCAAGCCAGTTTTTTCATAGAGCTTACACACATCCCACCACAGTATGCACCTATATAAAATCATTGTCCATTCTGGTCTACAAGTTCTGCTGGATGCTCAGGTAGCAGCCTGGTTTGCATGCCATGCTAAGCTAAACCATAGCTTAGGGCTTGTCCACACTTCTGTTTGTCCTGTGGTTTCTAGGCATGGGTACAAGTGGTTTTGCATTTGTCCTGCAACCTTCCCCTAGAAAGCATGTTCTTAACTGCTGAATTGGAACAAACAGCAATCCACAAAAAACCCAATGCCCATTTGCTCCAATTCAATGGTAAACCACAGATATTCAAGGGGGGAAGCAGTGGGGCAAGCGGATGAGTCCTTAGGGGCAACACACA